GTGTTGGCCCTGGTGCCGAGGCGGCAGGAAGTGAGACGGTGTCTTGCTCTCCGGCCCCGTTGGCTGTGGCGCTCGCTCTGTCCGCCCGCCTGGCGGCTCCATCTCCTCCTGAGTCAACCCCGAGCGTCGAGGCCCCCCCGCGCGGACTGTGCGGAGTGCGGCCGTCCTGGCGCTCCTGGGACTCCCGTCCCCAAGCAACGGAGCTCAGCAGGGCACTCGTGGGCAGCCGCGTGGCTCGCTCTGCTGGCGAGTGAGCAGGACGCCAGGCATGGCGTGGCCACTGCCACCTGCCGTCTTCCTGCGTGACACCGAGGTGGAGCCTCCACGCCTGGCCTTGGCGGGACCTGGTGCCCCAGGGACACACACGGAGAGCGGGAAACTGGGCTCGGCTCCGAGCCGCAGGGCCTGGGGTGCTTCCACAACACGACACAGCCTGAGTGACGGGCCTAGCTTGCTGGGTTTTGTTCACCCAGGGGCAGGCGGCGTCGGCCACCTGGGAAGGGGTAGATACAAGCCTCGCTGTGCCGCCCACGAGGCCGGGCCACAGGCTGGCGGGTGGGGAGGGGCTCGGTTCCCACCCCACACGTGCAGATCTCCTGCAGTTCTCTGACCCTGTCTGCTGGAAGCAGCTCTGTGGGCAAGACAGGAATCCGGGTGGGATCCCCACGGCAGAGTGAGCCAGCGCCCTGCCTGCTTCTGCCCTCTCAACCCTGCTGACCCCACAGCCCCCTTCGTTTACTCCCCTTCTCTGTTGTGCAGCAGGGTCAAAGCACCCCGCCCGTCAGAGACCGTCCTGGCGCTTCACCTGGCACCTGACCCATCCCCTCCTCCCGCTCCAGGAGGCCCCGTCTGTGAGGCTCTGGGGCTCGTGTGGCCCCCGGGAGGGGAATGTTCTTGTCGTCTTGGGGTAACATTCCACGGTTCAGGGTTGCCGTGGCCCAGGGTGGCTTCAGTCCCGTAAGGGGCTGCACAGCCTCGAAAGACTCCCCCGAACCGGGGCGTGTTGAAAGCAGTAAACACAGAGGTTGGGCAGGTCGCTCTGCGGCAGGCTGCAGGGCGGAGCCATGGGTCTGAGCGAACCCCTAAAAGACGCTCGTCTTCCAGACAGGAAGCCTCCAGGTTGGGTGATGTGGCTCAGACTTCGGGTCAGGGCCGTGAGTAGGACAACAGCAATGAGTTGGGTGGTTGAGGGTTTGAAAGAAGAAGTAGCCCCGTTTTAGAAGAGCCATATTTAATTTTAGACGTGAGTGGGAGCGCTAAGAAGAAACAGCTCACGTACAGCGGCGAGCCCGGGCTCCGGAGGGAGGCTGTGTGCGGGGAGGCGCGGGTCGCCCTGCCGTCGCGCAGGCGGCCGCGGAGCGGGCTGTGGCTGACGTCTGAGGTCACGCAGACGGTCGCAGCCAGGTCAGTGGGGAAATGACAGGCGAGCCCACTGTGAGTCTGGGCACAACGTTTGTATAAATGGGCGAAGTACGAATGCCCAGTAAACATGACGTTCTCCCGCTGAAGCCGCCCCCTGCGTGTGGGCCGTCCCGGGGCCCTTCCCGCCTGCCCTGGCCGTGGCCTCCGGATCCATGGCGCTGGGCGTGGGCCACGGCTGGGCGCAGAGGGAAGAGCAGCTGCGTGTGTTGCGAGGACGAGGCTGACAGCAGCGGTCTGTGATACAGTTTTTTGTTTCATTTTTGCTTTCAGCGTTTTGGCTGGAATTAATTGCGAAGATGAAAATGACTGCTCCCCATTTGAGTGGGGCATTTGATTTGGATCAGAGGGTAGTTTATGTGCGATGAGGTTATTGGTGATCGGGGAAACAGAAGGAGTCGGGTTCTGGGGCTGGTGTGCCCGGCGGGTGTCTGTGCGGTGCGGGACTCGGGCGACGCCGTCGAGGCTGTCTCAGCCCCGGCGCAAGGCCTCTGGCGGGCGGGGTTTCTGGTGACAGCGCTCAGAGGCCGGGCACCTGTGGGGATCACTGTGCTCTGTAAATTCGTTTTTTCTTTAAAAGGAAAAAGCAAAATACAGTGAGACGTCTCTTTCTTCTCCTGCCTGCGTCAAGGGAGAGTGGCCCTTAGGGACGACCCGTCTGTAAGTGGCTCTCCCGGGACGCCGCCATGGTGGCCGCACGCTGCCCGGGCGTCAGCGGTAGTTCCGGCTCTCGGGTGTGGCATCCGGTCTAAACGAGGTGCACAAAACAGCTCGCCTGGTTACTGACAGGCGCCTCCCCTGCTGTCTGGGAACGGGGAGAGGTGGGGGTCCCCCCAGCTGCTCAGAGCCTCTTTCCCGGTGGGCGGCCTGGCCGGCAGGTGCTATTTTCGGAACACCGCGGGATGCTGCTATTTTGCTCCATTATTTGTGGTGGAAACGGCCGTGGCCGCAGAGCAGGCGTGTGGTGGGGAAGCACATCCACGAGCGCCCGCCTTCCCCGTGCAACGAGCTTGCTGCGACTCCTGCTCTTGGGCACCCGTCCGGTGTCCGCCAGTGCAGTGCCAGGCGCTAAGAACAATCCATGGGAATGAGAAATAAACCCATCCAGCCCCTTAATTCCTCTGCAGACTGGGACGAGATGGCCGCCGTCGACGCTCACAGCAAAGCCAGTGCCCTGAGCCCCAGGAACAGTGCGTCCCCGGCAGAGCCCGGGATAGCGGGGGCGGCCGCGAGGCGGAGGGAAGAAGGAAGGTGCGTCGTTCTCAGGCTGCTTTCTGCAACTCCTGGTGACACGGTAACATGGGATGGGAGAGGACACCATGTTTAAGACAAGTTTCAAAAGTAGAGGAAAGGCTCCCTCTGACGTTTGTGTGGTTACGTTGAAGCGGCCGAGAGGAGCTGTGTGTCCTCAGTGGGAAGGCTGGGAAATGAGGTCTTTCTGAAAGGACACAGGCTTTCGCCTCAAGAAGTCACAAAGAAAAAAGTTAAAAAAGAACATTACAGTAAATTCAAAAAAGAAGAGAGGAAACGTGCAGGAGCCAGAACTCGTTTGGTTAAAAGGTCACGTGAGAATGAACAGCTCCTAGCTGGCGTGTGAGCAGATCGGTGACACGGAACAGCGTCTGGTCACACAGGCTGGCGTGTCGCCGGCACGGACGGTGTCGGGTGCGTCCGCAGGTCACCCTGGTGTAAGTTCTGGGAGAATGGGACGGGCGACGTCACTCGGACCCGAGGAGAAGGGTGGGAGGGAGGGAAGAATCTGTGGCTGCTTCTAGAAAATGTTTCCTTCTTGACAAAAACGCTGAACTTAACCCAGGAAGAAATAGAAAATCCAGGTGCATGTAGCGCCGGAGACACCGGAATGCAGCGGGAAGCCGCCGGCAGGCAGAGGTGCTCGCGGGTGGTGCATCGTGGCGACCGCAGGAAGAAGCCGCCGGGAGGTTCCGGCGAGTCTTGCTAAGATGGGGATGAGCCGTCCAACACGTCGGCCAGCAAGCTGGCGATCCTCGCCAAGGAGAAGTTCGGGACTGGTGGCCTCACAGCCCCGAAAGCCAGCGTTCAGCATCAGGAAAACTGCGAACGCAGCGCAGCCCATTCGCCGATCGAGAACAAGCACGTCATTATCCCAGAGGCAGGACAGGTGTGGGACGCAATTCGGCACCCAGTGGTGATTGAAAGCAAAACAGAACTCGAGAACGAGGCCTGGGAAGGTGTTTCCTCGCCGGGAAGAACATTCACTGACACCCGGTAGCAGACGTCGGCCAGTGGGAAACACGTCCGTTAACATTGCTCTCGAGTGACCCCCACGCGGGGTCGGGAGGTCCCGTGGCGATGAGAGCAGCCCCTGACAGAGGGGGACACGCCAGAGACCCCCGCTGGGAAACTGAGCAGTGCCAGAGCCGCGGCGTCCGACAGGCAACTGCCGGCCAGACGGGACTGCTGAGCACTTCAGACGCACGGAGTGTGGCTGGCGTGTGCTGTACGTGTAAGATACACACTGCGTGGCCCAGACGTCAGGAAAGAGTAAAATATCTCGTTGGTTTTATGTTGAGTACATGCCAAATGGTATCACAGATATCGGCAAAATAGACTGCGTATTCAATTAAATATTGTCAGCTGTGTATTTCTTTCAGTGTGGCTACTGGAAAAGTTGCAATTACTTGTGTTTCTACGTTTACATTTTACGTATTTCTGCATTGACATTGTGTGTCTACTGGGCCGTGCTGTTCTCAGTGGAGACCCCGAGAGAACCCTCAGAGAACCGAGGGAGTGGAGCGGGGACCACTCCCTGCGGGCCACAGAAAGGGGGACGGCGGGCTCGGTCCACCAACCTGCCGTCTACGCGTCTTCTGCCTTTCCTGGCTCCCCCACGCAGAACTCGCACCGCAGCACTTGCGTTTGGCTGCCGCGTCCCTGCCCTGGGACGCTCCCACTTCCGTGGTCTCCTCCCCAGGGGTCCGTCCTGGCCCCCGCGTGCCCTGGCTGCCGCCCTCACCCGAGCATCCCCCCCCCACGGAGCCCCCACGCACCCTCCACAGACCACCCGACCCAGGACCTCCCACCTGGGACCTCCCACCTGGGACTGTGCGCGTGTCTGGTCTTGCAGCCTTGGCGCGGGCCTGGCGCAAGCTCCCCGTTGTCCTAGGCACGAGGCCCTCCGAGCCCGTTCTCCTGCCTGGGTCTTCCCCGGGGCGGTCGGTCCCACCTTCGTTTCCTGTCTTCTCTGTGGTCCAAGGTCCAGCCTTGGACACTCCAGACCAGCCAGCGCCCGGCGTCACAGGCGGCTGCTTCGGGCCGCGTAAGCTCCCTTGTGTCGGCCTGAAGGGTTCCAGGGAAGTCTGTGCTGGGTGAGGCTCTGCGTCCCAGGGCGGGGCACCCTCGAGTTTGCGGCCGGGGCTGGGTGCCGCTTCCAGCCACCCTCGGTGGCTCTGGGTGGGCAGGATGCTGGTCGGCCGCGTGGCTGCGGCTCCTCCCCGCCACCGCGCCACTGACCTCCCCAAGAGGTGCGGACAGGGACGCCCGGCGTGGAACCGAGCGGCGTCCCGGCCACGTGCCCCGCTGACGTCCCTCTGTCCTCGCAGGTGGCCGTGATGACACTGACGCTCTTCCCCGTGCGGCTGCTCCTGGCGGTCCTCATGATGCTGCTGGCCTGGCCCTTGGCGCTCGCCGCGTCACTGGGATCTGCCGAGAAGGAGCCCGAGCAGCCCCTGGCCTCGTGGCGAAGGTGAGTCGCTCACACTGGGGCTCAGGGTCGGCGTCCCGCCACCGGCAGCCATGGATCCACTCCCGCGCGTGGCCCTGTCCGTACGCCTGGGGCCTGTCCACCTTCCCGTCCGAGCCCAGCGTCCCGCGGGGCACCGCTGTCCCCGGCCACCTCCCCTAAAACTGGCCGCCTGGCCGTGCCGGCCGTCCTGCTCCGAGGCTCCCTCCCAGGCCCGGCCTGCCGCGTGGCGCTGTGTCAGCATCCCGCGCGCAGAGACCGCCTGTGGCCCTCTGCTCCAGAACATTCCTTGGCTCCTTGTAGGCTAAAGTCCAAACCCCCTGGGCCTGGCGCAGTGGCCTCCCCCCCGAGCCCTCAGCTCTGGCTCTGCCAGCGGTGCTCTCCCAGCCCAGGCCGTGCACGGACGGCCCTCACACTGTGCACACTGGGCACCGCGGTGGTGCCGGCCTCTGCGGGGGAGGCCCCGCCCCAGCGACCCCCACGCGGGTGCCTGGACCTTGCGGGTGCTGTGAGCGGGAGGGGCGGCGCCCTGATAGGAACGGCCCCTGGGGGGCGCCTGCCGACCTGGTTTTGGCCAACGCGGGCTGAGCGAACAGGTTGCCGCGCCGCGAAGGTCCAGTGATTTGGCCTCAGAGCCCTGTTGCTGGCCGGGCCGGCAGAGCGGAAGCTCTGGGCAGCGATCCCAGCCCCGCCCCCTGGGCTGCACGCTGGAGACCTGCGTGAACACTGGGTTGTCGCAGAGACGGTGCGTGAAGCTTCCCCGGCTCTCCCGTCTTCCGCTCCACTCTCCCCGTGACGTGGGAGTCCTCCAGGCGCAGGCCCCGGCTTCGCAAAACGGACGCGTCGGGCTGTTGTCTCTGTGCTGAGCCCCGGCGGCTTTTCTTGTGTCGGAGTCAGGTCCTGGGCTCCGCGGGTGACAGGTGGCCACGGCGACTTCCATTCCGACAGCCCCTCTCAAAGAAGCTGTTACGTGTACATGACGTGTCCATGGCAGTGAAACATCAGGATTTCTCATGGCCTCAGTTTCATGAGAGCTTTGAGCGTCAGGGACTGTGGAGACTGTGTATCATTCTGTGTGTGCATACGTGTATGGGTTACATGCATGAGTGTGCATGTGGGACTACATGTATGTGAATGAAGGGGTGTGTGTACGCTTACATGTGTGAGATATGGTATGGGTGTATGTGTGAGAGTGTGTGTATGTGTATAAGTGTATCGTGTGCATGTGTATGAGAGTATCTGAGAGTACATGTGTATGCATGCCTGTGTCTGAGTGTATGTGTATGTGTGTATTTATAGGAGAAAGTGTGCATACATATGGGAATATACGTGTGTGGGGAGTATACATGTGTGTATATGTATGGGTATGTATAGTATGTACACATGTGCACATGTGTGGGTGTTGATGTGTGCATATATGTGAATGTGCATTTGCATGTATGTGTATGTATTATGTGTATACATGAGAGTATGTGTATACATGTGAGTACCTGTGTGTACATGTATATGCACGTGTGTGTGTATATGAGAACGCATGTGTGTCTGTGCAAGCGTGAGCCTGCTTGTGTGTACCTGAGCGGCACACGCCACAGGCCAGTGAATTCCCACCCCCGCAGCCCTGGCGTCACCATTGAGCAGCGTTTGTGGAAAACCTGCTTCCCCCCAGTCCTGGGCCGGGCGCTCGAAGGGAAACAGAAGAAACAGCAAACGCCCAACCCTGATCCTCAGTTGGAAACAGAAATAACAGCGCCCGGTTAGGGACACGGGAGCAGGAAAAGGAGGTTTTGAGATAAGGGACCCGGAGCAGCGTTTGCCGAGTGATAATCGCACAGTTAGGGACCTGAGTTGTTCGCGTCGAGCACGCTGTGCGGTTTGAGTGACCGACGCCGGATGAAAGGGGACTTTTGCTGGATGTAAGTGGGTGTCACTCAGACCTTCCTAAAATAAAATCTCGGGCTTTCGGTGAAAGAATGACACAGTTTCAGAAAAGGCACTCGTTCCAAGATCCTTTCGAAACGCAAAGTGCAAACCCGTGGCCTTTCCACAGGGCCCACCGCGCGGGCTGACCCTCTGCCCCGACTGAGTCCCGAGCAGGGCCGGGCACAGGTGGTGGGGTCTGGGGGCAGCCCCTCGGCGGACCGGACGGCTCAGGCGGGTACCGCTTTCCCGAGTGCGTGTGTGGGGACTCCGTTTCCAGCCTTGCGGAGTCTGTCCCCGTGATGACTCCAGGTGCCCCGTGAAGGTCGGCTGCGGTGGGGACTTCAGACTGTTTTCTCCGCTTTCAGCCTGGGACTGCCCTGGGAGCTGCAGCTCACACTCGCCCGGGCTCTGCAGCCCGGCTCGGCCTTCCCGCCTGCCATCCCAGGACCCTCCTCTCTGGTCGGTGCCGCGCCGCGGTCTGGTTGCACGCTGCGGCCGTGTCTCCCCCAGGGCCGGCTGCCTCCCCGTGCTGGCACCCTTCTCAGCAGAACCGTTTGAAACGCCCAGGTCAGGGTCTCTCTTAACGGTCAGGGCTCCTCGGCCCTGCTCCCGCACACACGGGCCTGTCGAGGGGCCTGGCAGCCCTGCCCAGGGTTCGGGGTTCAGGTTCAGAGTCAGGCTCGGGCTGTTTGGCCAGCAGTGCTGGGTGCTGCTGCTTCCTCCTCCTGGCCGCCTGTCTTCGGGCTCCTTGGACTCCCCTCCCCCGCAGCCCCCTCCCCTCCTGGCGGCCCCTCTCAGTCTCGCTCACCGGGTCTCGCCCTTCCTCCGTCGGTTCTCTCCTGGTGCTCTCGGCTCACCCTGACACCCGTCTCTACGCCAGCGACTGCCAGACCTCCGCGTCCGCCCCAGCCTCTCCTCCAGCCCCCGTCCGAGGCCCTGGCTGTCTGCAGACGATCTCAGACTCAGCATGTCCGGGACGGAGCCCCCAGGATCCCTCTCCACTTGTTCTAGCCGCAGCCTCCCGTCTCTGCTGACGGGGACTCTGTCACCCCGTGTGGCCTGGGCCTGGCCCTGGGAGTCACGGCGCCCCCAGTGCCTTCCAGCCACACCCGCAGGACACGTCGTGTCCACGTGTAGACCACACCGGGAATGTAACCCTCCTCCCTGGCCCCCCTGGGTCCTGGAAGTGCCTCTGGCCTGCTGCCCCCTCTGCACCAGCAGCCACAGGGACCCCGACAGACAGGAGTCAGGGTACAGCCCTCCCTGCCCTCAGCCCTGAGCAGCTCCCTTGTTCTCATCACCAGGATAGAAGTTGTGCCCTTACAGCCCCGACAGAGTCCCTGATCTGCCATCCCTCCCTGGACTCCAGCCACGTGGCCTCCTCACTCGAGTGCCGTTGCCCTGGGGCCTTTGCACGGCTGTGTCCACTCCCTGCTCCTGCCCCAGCCCGGCCCGGCTGCTTCTCCCTGCTGTACCAGGCCCTCCTTACTCCACCCGCTTCTCATTTTTATCTGTTCGTGGATGCTGCCTCCTGCTAACCTGGTCCACATTTCACTTACTTTCGTAGTTGTTTCTGCCACTAGAAGGTGAGCTGCAGGCAGGCAGGGATCTCCCTCTGCCTGGCAGGAGGAGGTGCTCGGTGCACACTGGGGCACACGGATTTTCCTTGCACCTGTTTTACTTTTATCAGAGTAGCGTGTGCACGCGGTCAGAGTAAAACTGAGCGGTGGAGAACAGCCGCTGCGGGACTCAAGTCTGGACCCTCCCCTTCCCGGCCCGCGCCGCGGTGTCTGGGTTGGTTTTCAGTTTCTGCTGTTGCCTCCATAACCCTGAGCAGTGAGCTTGCGCTCTGGTCTGCCGTGGCGGGCAGACCCAGCCACAGGCACGGGACGGTGGGACGAGAGGGTCCTTTCTCCGCCCGTGGCCGGTGCCCCAGCCCCGTGCTCAGGGAGGACGCTCCGCGCCACGTCCCAGGCAGGGCCGCTCCTTCCCTGCGCCCTGCGGTTTCTCAGAGCAGCGCACACGTCAGCTTGTGTGAGTTTGGGCTGTGCTCCCTGTACTTTTTAAATAGAATTTCAGTATACCCTTCCCTTGCTCATTGCAGAAATAAAAGCAAGCCCACGGCACAGCCTCCAAACGCTGCAGCCTCACGGGTGCGCGGCTGCCGCTGGGCCGCGCCTCCTCCCGGGCCCGCCAGCCCCGTTGCCGCTGCCTCCCGCGCTGCTCCCCGCGGTGCCCCCGCCTGCGGCCTCTTCCTCCTTGCTCCCCCTTTCTGCATTGAAGATTTTCTGGAGTATCGAGTTCTTCTAGAAGGAGGATGTGTGAGAGGAACTCGGACTCGTTTCGCACCTGAAAATGTCCCTGTGCCCCCCTCGCAGTGGACGGCTGGCGACGGGTCTCGAACCGCAGTCCAAAATCCGGTGTCCTCAGGGCTTCGAGGACGTCGTCCCATGGCCGCCCGGCCCCCGCGGGCTCGATGCTGGCGTGGCCTGCGTCCCCGCTCCGGGAGGGTTTGGAAATGTTCTCTTTTCCTGAAGAATGAGGAGACTTAAAGAATTCTCAAAGGAAACTTCCAAGAATGAGTTTTTTTTGAAACATTAGTTCTGCTCACTCCTTCACATGGCGCTGAGGGGCCACGTCTTTCTTCGACTCCAGGAGACCGTTTTCTTCGGGTCCCCTGTGGGTCTCCCCTCTTCTTCCCGCGTGTTCTGGCAGATTTCTTCCCGCCGTCCGGCCCCGCTAGCGGGTGATCGTCTCTGCAATGAGATGTTGGGTTTCCAAGCGTGTCGTCTTGTTCCCTGACCCTCCGCAGAGCACCTCAGTGAGACACCGCTGAGAGCGGCGGGTTCCTTAACCCCCTCCAGTCCCCACGCTGTCCCTCGGGGTCAGTCTGCTCCCGCACCACACGGCTGCTTCTGCTCGCACATCCGGGATCCTCGGTGTCTGCATGGGGAGCGTAGGATGGGGCGGGGTCTCCGGGGAGCTGGCGAGGTCTCTGCTCCTGGTGGAGGGTCTTTCTCCGATTCTCTTTCCCTAGAAACAAGGCTGCCCCAGACTCGGGCCTGGGCTTGTCGCCGGCTGCCTTTGCCTGGGGCGAGCGGGTGCTGGGCCCCCCAGAGGGAGCAGAGCTTTCCCCTGCGGCCCCACCCCCAGTCTGGCCCTTCCCCACGGGTGCAGAATCCCTGCAGGTCCTCAGAGAAGAGCTGAGTCAGGCGCATGCTGTCCCCGCCCCGCACGTTTCTGCAGGCACCAACCTCCGCTGAGGGCTGCGGCGTCCCCCTGAGAGCAGGACTGCGGCTCCAGCCTCCCTTTCCCCAGCTCTCTGCTCCCTCCTGCCCTGAACCTGCCTCCGGGACCGGCTCCTGCTCCCACGCGGCCAGGCCTCGTTTTCTCCCTCCTCAGGCACCAGTTGCCGTCTTTTGGCTTTTATCTTCTTTGTGCATCTGTTATTGTGAAACAGAGAAAAGTGCACACCTGTGTCGTCACACCTGGCCCCAGAAGCAGAGCGTCGCGGCGTGGCCCCAGTGTCTCCAGGTGTGACCTGCGCGGTGATTGTTCATCGTCCCCGTAAACAAAGGTCTTTTCCACGCAGCTCCGGGTCAGCCACCGCGCAGATGGGTGTCAGTCCCTCGGGAAAACCACGCCGTAAGGTTTTAGACTCCTGTTCCTCTGTGCAGGGAGTTTACCCAGGCGGGTCACCTGCCTGACCCAGCGGCTGAGTAAGACTCAGCTCTTGGCCAGGGTGGACCCTATTCTGTGGACGAAGGCTCAGCAGCCTGTCATCCTCCGTCCCCAGGGCCACCCCGACCCGGGTCGCTGCAGGGACGTGCCGGACGACACTCCAGTGTGTGGCCTTGTCAGAGATTAGCGTGAAAGGGAGTGTGTACACTTCGGTGTCTCAGTTCCTACATATTCAAAAATAAATAAATAGGAAACATTCAGTTCGTCTAGGCTGGATTTTACTATATTTTCTACATTTATTGTCCACATTTCTTCCAGAAACAGCTCATTTTAATAACATCACGTTGGGTTCTGGGAGCCCTGGGCGTCCTGGGGGAAAACAGACCGGGGAAGTTTCCAGCTGGTCTCCACTTCCGTCCTCACCTCCGGGCTTCTCTCCGTATTTCAGTGTGCATTTTGGGTGTTTTTAGGGGTTTCAGTGTGTTTTCATTTAAGAATGCGGACAAGCAGACTGCCGACGTTTGAGGCATAGCGGTCTGTCGGTTTGGCCTGTGGCTTTTCTGCTGGTGTCAGGAGTCGTGAGCTGCCCCAGTGCTGCTGGGCGGCGCGGCCGAGACCCACACGCGGAGCCCCTCACCTCCCTTCAGAGGACGCGTGGAGAAGGCACCGCGCGTGTGGCCGAGGGAAGGAAAACCCAGTGTCGTTTTCTCCCCTCAACCAACGTCCCAGCAGCTCATGCAGGTGTCTCGGGGCCCAGCCTGCGCCCCGACAGCCCCCGGCAAAGGCTGCAGCTGCACATGCCACGTGCCCGCCGTGTGCGCCCCAGGGCCGCGGCCACGCCCCTCACCCCGTTCACCCGTCTGACGGCAGCGCCCTCCCTTGCAGGGTCGTGGACTTCCTGCTCAAGGCCATCATGCGCACCATGTGGTTCGCCGGCGGCTTCCACCGCGTGACCGTGAAGGGGCGGCAGGCACTGCCCACCGAGGCGGCCATCCTCACGCTGGCACCACACTCCTCCTACTTCGATGCCATCCCCGTCACCATGACGATGTCCTCCATCGTGATGAAGGCCGAGAGCAGAGACATCCCGATCTGGGGAAGTGAGTGAGTCCCCGCCCCCACCTCCACTGGGGAGGAGTGACCCCCCCATGCCCCCATCCCCCGCCACTGGAGTGAGCGAGCCTCCACAGGGAGTGACCCCCCAGGGAGTGACGCCCCCAGGGAGTGAGCCCCCCAGAAGTGACCTCTCCCCCTACAGGGAGTGACGCCCCCAGGGAGTGAGCCCCCCAGAAGTGACCTCTCCCCCCATAGGGAGTGACCCCCCCAGGGAGTGAGAAACCCCAGGGAGTGAGCCCTCTGAGAAGTGACCTCTCCCCCCGCAAGGGAGTGACCCCCCAGGTAGTGAGAAACCCCAGAAGTGACCTCTCCTTCCACAAGGGAGTGACCCCCCCAGGGAGTGAGCCCTCTGAGAAATGACCTCTCCTCCCACAAGGGAGTGACCCCCCCCAGGGAGTGAGCCTTGCCGTGGTTACCGTGGGAACGGTTGCCATGGAAACACAGCCTATCCATGTGGGTCGTGCCCACTGTGGGTCATGCGCACACGAGGTGGGCACCCGGCCTTGCATCCCATTTTCTTTGCCGTGATTTTTTTCTATGATATTAATCGTGCGGTTTTCAGTTTTATTGGCAGCCAAGTACCCTGGGTGTCACTCCAGGCGAAGAGCTTACTCGAGTCTGTTTAGCAGGGACCCTTTACCAGACGGCAGTTCTAGAAGGGGCAGCTCGGTGAGGCTGTCCCCACTCCCCCGTGAGGGTGAGGCTGTCCCCACTCCCCTGTGAGGGTGAGGCTGTCCCCACCCCTCCGCGAGGGTGCCGTGAGCCAGGGGCTTGAGTGTCCGGGGGCTGCCGTAACAAATCGGCGATGCTGGGCGCCTGACGGAGCAGAAGCACGTTCTCTGCCATTCTGGAGGCCGAAGCACTTCCGGGTGTGGGCTAAGCTCCCTCCGAAGGCTCCGGGCCAGGACCCTTCCTGGCTCTTCCAGCCTCTGCCTCTGCGGTCACAGGAACTCCTCTGTGTGTGTCTCTTAGCAGGCCTGGTCGTCGGGTCATCCAGGATGACCCCGTCTTGAGATCCTTAGCTAATGACATCTGCAAAGACCTTTTCTCCAAATAGGGCCACGTCACAGGTTCCCGGGGTCAGGACACGGACACATCTGGGGGGGCTGCCATTGGACCCACGGCACTGTTGCTCTGTGAGAGTCTTGGGGAGCCCTGGGCACCCTGCGCAGCCCCTCAACATCGAGGATGAAAGCGCCCGCCGTGAACAGCCTGGCCCCGCCTGCGCCCTGTCCTCGAGGTCCCTTCCAGGTGCCGTCAGCACACCTGGAGCTCCGCAGGCTCTGGGGTGGGGCCGGCCGGGGTGGGCGGAGAGCAGGGCTGGCCGTGGCTACTCAGGCAGAAAGGCGTCTCTGTAGCCAGATCTTCAGAGCCCGAGCCCTTGGCCGCACCTTCTCCGAGTTTGCACACGGCACCTGACGGCGTGAGCATCCGTGTGGTGGTCACCTGGAGAATCTGCGTAGATTTTATTTTTCTTTCTAATAGGGGGAATGTTTTGAGGGGGGTCTGGCACATGGTGTGCCGTCTGCAAAATAGACGCTGAACAGTGTTTATTCGACTACGGGCTGGACGTTTCTGGTGCATCGTGGAGCAGTTTTCCTCGCCGCAGGATGAAACAGTGACTCCGGGATTCTGCGTCCAGGTCTCCCGGTGTGGGCGAAAGGCCGGCGCGTCTTCCCCGGAACGCCCTTCCCTTTCCCGTTCCGCCCCCGCTGCCCTCCCTAACCACTGAGCATCTGGATCAAACCGGCGTTTTGTTCCCAAGTTCTGTCAGCACAGACTTCCACCTCCCGGTTGTCGTCCCCCCCGGGCTGCTGCGCCGGAACAGCATGGTCCGGGTGGCTTCCAACAACAGGAGTTTATTTCTCGCAGCTCTGGAGGCTGCAAGTCCACGATCCAGGGGCGGATTCCGTGTCTGGGGAGAACTGACTTCTGCTGCACGGATGGCTGCTCCGTGCGTCCTCACGTGGGGAGGGGTGGGGCTCTCCGGGGTCCCTTCCTCAGGGCACCGACCCCATCACAAGGCCCCAACCCCAGGACCTCATTGCCTCCCAGAGGCCCCCCCTTGGGGATTTAAACCTACGAATTAGGGGGGGGACACATCCGATCTACAGGGCTGAGCCCGAGGATCCCGGCCACAGCTGGGACGGGAGGGCTGGAGGTGGGGAGGAAGCCCCCAGCATGGCCGCTGCAGTCCGCACGCAGGAGCCGGCAGCGTCCAGGCTGGCCAGCACCCTTGCTGGGACGTGAGCTCCGGCCACTCTGCCCTGCCCCAGACGGGCCGTGGGAGGAGGAGCCGCAGGAGCCCGTGGTGGGCGTGCGATGGGCTCCAGGCACGGCGCAGGTGACGGCTCTGGGCCCTGTCTGAAACTTGCAGGCTGTTCTCTGCCCTCCAAGCACTCCGGCCTGCCCTGGCGGCCCCAGCTCCCATCCCCCGTCCCGCCGGGTCCCCCAGCTGCCGCCCCACCCGGGAGGCCATGTCGGTGCCTCCACTGTTGGGGAGCTCCTTGATCCTTCCTCATCCAGTCAGGGACGTTGCTTGTGAAGCCAGCTGTGCTGGAGGGGCTGTCCGAGACTGCGGGGGGGGCTTGGGGAGGGACGCCGCCCGTCAGGAGTGACGTCCCAGGGCCTGCAGGGCTGACTCGGCTGTGAGGGGGCCCAGGCTCCAGCGACCCGCTGCTCCCTCCGGCCCCTCCCTGCCTCAGAGCAGACGGCGGAGACCAGTGCAGGGACGCTGGAGAGATGGGGTGGGTCCCCCTGTCACACCCGGGGTCGGAAAACCCACGTTCCGCAGACCCCGGCTGGCGTAGGGATGAACAAACACTTCTGGGATGACACATACTACCGTGGACACGTTGCCATGCCACAAGGGAACATCCGTAACGGCCGCGCAGGGGACACTCCAGTGCCCGGTGACCACAACTCTGAGCACCTCCCTGTTTGTTAGCCCGACCTGCCCCTTCGCTGGGAGACAGGTGCTCTTCCCTCTGCACACCTGGAGGTCGAGGAGCTGGCCCTCGGCTGCAGCCTGGGTGGTGGCCCAGCCAGGGCTGGAAACCCAGACGGGTGGTGGCAGCGTCCCCAGTCCTTCCACCGAATGCAGAGCCCACGCCGGTAACTCCCAGATGCTTCCGCAGCTCAGCCCAGACCCGCAAACGTAGCTTCTGCCTAGAAGGTTCAAACCCCAAGGTCTTCTCCGTGGAAGTGCCGTGTTCACCTCGTGCGGTGGACGTGGGGAGTGTCATGGCCGAGATCACGAGTGAGGCATCGGGGGCCGGGCAGAGCGAAGATAAACCTGTTCATCCACCAGAAGCTGGGCGCTGGGCTTCCTCGGCTGTGACGTGGTGAATGCCGACACTGGGGAGCCGGTGTGGTTCGTCCTGAGCACGGAGCGAGTCTCCCGTGGCTGCATGCAGCGCGTTTCGATTCAGCTCTGCGTCAGGCCGCCGTGGCCGGGCCAGCACAGAGGCAGACAGCTGGGACCACACACAGCCTCGGCCCTGCGAGTGACGTCAGGGATCCTCCGTGTAGCAGTAAAGCAGCTAATCTGCGGACGGTGGTTACGAAATGAAACAGCGAGGAGCTGTGTCTGCGCAGACCAGGCGCCCAGCAAGCAGGGCGGCCCCCGCTGACTGAGCCTCCTCGGGGGAGGTTTGAGAGACGGGGGATGCCGGCCACGGACACCTCAGGTGGGCATTTGAGAGCTCGGTTTTCCAAGTAAAGAATTACGTACCACGTGCCTGGAAGGTCGGATTAAATTCCAAGAGTTTTCAGAAAGTCAGGTTGAGACCACGATGATTGGCAGATTTGCAGTTCCCTTGAGTGACACTGAGAAGTCATCGCCAACGCCTAGATATGCGTGCGTGGCCCCCAGCAGCGGGCGGGGACGGTTTTGGGACTCACAGCTGCCGCTGTCCTGTCCCTCGCAGCATTAAGGCTTCAGGCCGTGGGCACAGCATTTCTGGCAAGTTCTGGGCCGGGAGGGTGGCACCGGCCGTCACCCACGCGCACCGTGGCTGCGAGGCAGAGCACGCGGCCGCCCACCTGTGCCCGAGCCCGGGGTGTCCAAGCTCTCTGTGGGCCGAATCTGCCGGCTCCTCCGTCAGAGCTGGGCCCCAGGCCGCCGCGGCTGACCGGCCACGGCGGGGTCCACGTGTCAGGACCTTTCTGTGGTCTTGTCCTGTTACAGAGGACTCACAGACCTGAGAGCGACGGGACCGCGACGAGCAAGCTTACTGGAAATTTTAATTAGAACTCAAATATTCCCAAATTTTATTCCTTACTTTCCTGGTTTGGGGCCAAGCGCACCCGAAAGGGCCGTTGTCCCAGGAACGTGGCCAGTGGCTCCCCCGCCACGCGCTAAGCAGGACACATCCCCACCCGGCTCAGCGTCTCCCGTGGGCTCCAGTTTGTCGCAACCGCTGGGTCCACTTTGGACCCTCTGAGGGCTCAGAACCTTGTTGAAGAGATGGATGCTGAAAATGCTCAGAATATTTTCGCTTTTAGACTCATCAGCGCAAACTGGAGTGACTCACCCAGTGAATTATTTTCATTCTTCTGTGGCTGCTGTCGTGGACACGCCCACCCACGTGTGAGCCGTGGTCCGTGGTCGAGTAAACTTTGATCCCCACTGCCAGAGGCAGGAAAGCGTGTCCCACATCCCACCACGGAACGGGGCCGGGTCCTTCCCATGGCCGGACTCCCCACGAGGAGCCGCGTCTCCTTTCTGTCCCGAGACACACGTGTTCCGTTACCACTTCTCAGGCATGAGAGCGTCTGTGGAGACCCTTCTGGGGACCTGCAGCCCGAGGTTTTGCCGCCGTCCTCGGGCTCCCGCTGCTGCCACCGGCCACGCGCGCAAGGGTGGGGGTCGCCCTCCCCCTCACCGTCTTGTCTTCGCCGTCATCTGAAACGTCAGCTGTTTGGCGAAGCAGACCAGCTGGCGGGACCACGGAGCAGCATCTCCTGACCCTGGGTCCCCGGGAAGACGGCACGAGGCTTTGGGCACAACAGAGAGGGACCCGCAGTTGGGGCCACTCACTCCACTTCCGGTGCCCGTCCTTCCGGGCGACTCTCATTCCTGCTTCCCGTCTGTCTTGAGCGGAGTCGGGAATAACCGACCCGTAAGGGTGAACAGCTCCGAGCGTGGAGAAATAGCAAAATGGCTCAAGACACAGAGAAATAAGACCACAGCTCCATGTTTATCTTCTGTGTAACAAAAGGGTCCCGTGGACCCACCAACGGGGAATTGTAAGACAGGAATTTTCTTCTTTTCTCTGCAATCTTCTCTTGCCCTTTGGAAGGCCCCCAAGAAAGGATCGGAATCATGAACGCTGATCTTGACAAGCAGCAAAAACGCTAGGAAGAGAGACCCGACGCTGCCTGGGGCGCGGCGAAGGCTGACTCTCGCGGAGTGGGTGGTGCCGCACGCCCGGCAGGAGGGCGTCTGGCTCACCGTCACTTCCCCAGAACGAAGCTCTGAGGTCTGCTCAGTCCTCTCTTTTGAGAAGCGTCTTTCCACTTTCTTTCTTCTTGCCAAAGGACAGGCGCTGTGGCCACTGCCGTCGCTGCGGCTGGTTGGGCGCCGTCCTCACAGCAGCGCGGGGTCCAGGCGCCCGCCCCACCCTGACGCGGGGGCCGTGTGGCCAGGCTGGAGCTGAAGCCCTGGGGGTTTCCGGGGCTGTCATGCAAAGTGCCGCCGGGTAGCTTAAACCACAGGGATTTGTTCTCACTTTCGGGAAGCCTAGAACCAAGGTGCTGGTGACCCTTGACTGTGGCCACGTCACTCCCGTCCGCCCCCTTCCCCGCGTGGCCCTCTCCCCGCCATCTCCCCTCCTCTCTGACAAGGACACGGTCATGGGATGGGCCCCCCAATCCCGGATGACCTCGCCTTGACCCGACCGTCCGCAGCACCCCGTTTCTTAGGTCTTAGCCACGGGCACCAGGAGCGAGGACATCAGCTTCTCTTTTAGGGGACGCAGCTCCGCCCACACGGGGGCGGGAGGGGTCTTGGACCCCTGTTCTGTTAACACGGTGGCCACCCCGGTGGGGTCAGGCTGTCGTTCTACATGCCTGGTCCTGCTCCATGCTCTCGTAGACTCCCGTGTTTTATTACTTTCGGCCTGCGGGTCACAGGGCTCCCTGCTGTCCTGCAGGGTCGTTGGAAGGCTGGGTGGCTTCCCTGATCTCCGCAGGGTCAGGCACGGACTCAGAACCCGCCTGGCAGCACAGCCCACGAGGGATCCCTGGGGGCTCCCATCTCCTGGGCACGTGGGCGGCCTCGCAGCAGCCCCATCCTACCGTGGCAGAAGCCACGAATGCCAACTCGACCCCTCTCCCCTCTCCCCAGCTCTGATAAGGTACATTCGGCCGGTGTTCGTGTCCCGCTCGGACCCGGATTCTCGCAGGAAAACAGTGGAAGAAATCAAGCGACGCGCACAGTCCAGCGGAAAGTGGCCGCAGGTAACGCAGTCCGGGCGCACCGGGGTGGTTACTCCACGGTGTGGGCTCTGAGAATGGCGGGAGACAGAACGAGGGCCCGGACCTTTCTGTTTCTGGGTGCGGAGTCTCGTTTCCTTGTTTGTTTTGGTGAATGTACGAGTCCAAGAGTGTGCTAAGTATCAGGTGCTTTTGGTTTTGGTGTCTGGGCTTTAAAGTGAAAATAAGGAAAATGATTCTCCAGTGCTTGTCAGTTTCCTGAGTCCTCCTTTTTGAAAGTAAGTTCTCACTGGGCTGGATTCTGGCCAGTCCGCCCTCTGGATGCGGTCTGATTTCCGAGCTACCACGTCAGCCTGCGCGCTCTCGCTGCTAACGTCCCGAGTGGCCTTCCCTGGCCCGCGTGCAGGGGCCACCCGGGAGCCCAACTGCGCTGTAAGCACGGCCCTGGCAGCATCAGCTTAGACGCCTGCATTTGGTTCACATCCTATTTTTCTTTTTAATCGAGCCGTCATCAGAAGCTGGACGTTTCACAGGCGTCTCGGTCTGGTCACTCAGGAAACGTGGCAGGGCTGGCCCACAGCCACGTGTGGTCAGGGAGCCGCTGGCCCCTCAGGGGGTCTGTGACTCCCAGGATGCCCTCTGCTGCCCCAAGCACTGGACCCTGCACCTGCTTTACCTGCCCGGCCCTTGGGTGCTCAGGCCGGACCCCACCGGCTCAGCTGGGGACTGTCTTCCCTGCAGGCCCAGGACTGAGAGCAGCGTGTGGCCGCTCTGTCCAGCGTGTGGGGAAGTTTGAGCCGAGTCGGTCTGGACCACGGCGACTGCCGATCCCAGCTCCTCCTGGGGGCCCCTTGGCTTCCGGCCGGGGGTGTGCTCCCGCCGGGTGCCTGTGTTCTCCGCGCTTTCTTCCTCACGCAGGCGCTGCTGTCCGCGGGTGCTCGCTTTGCGCTCAGGGTGCTAACATTTACTTGAACCTGCTTCTCACAGCGCCCGTGGGGCGGGCACCACGATGCCTGTCTTCCAGGCGCCGCGGTCTAAGCGGACACGGCCGTTTGTACGTCTGCGTTGCTTCCGGGTTTCAGTGAAACCCGCAGAGTGGAAATCGCCGCGACCGTAGTGCGTTTCCAGTCCCGACTGAGTGTGGTCGGAGTTTCCGAGTCTCGCCAGCGGCAGAGGGCGTGTGCTGTGAAGACGGGCGCACGTGGCGTGCGGGTTGTAACGCCACGTGGTTTAACGCTCCCCTTTTCTCCCCTTTTCCAGATAATGATTTTCCCAGAAGGGACCTGCACTAACCGGACCTGCCTCATCACCTTCAAGCCTGGTAGGGGGTCTGCTAAGTGTCTGCTTTCTCCCGTGTGCTGGGGCTCTTAGAAATATCCCTGAGAAAAGTCACAAAGTGAGTTTCGCTATCTGAGGCCAGGGTCACGGTGTCACAGGGGGCAGAAGTTACGTAGCAAGTGTGTAGTGAGGCAGAGGTTTTGCTTTGCTTTGGGCTCCAGGTTAGGGGGTCCTGGTCTGGAAGGGGCCCTTGTGCCCTGCGCCCGTCTGCAGCCGCCCTGGCAGGCCCGGGAACCCCAGGGGCAGAGCTCCGAGCCGTCCTCAGAGCCCCAGGTGGACGGTGCTCCTTCCCCGTGGGGACACCAGTGCCCGTGCACATGGGTCTCTCCCACGGCATTGCGCGTCTAGGTCGGGGCCCGAACCTGACCGTGGAAGCCTCACAGGAGTAGGGGTGGGGCGAAGCCCACTGTTCTCGCTTTCCGTGGCGAACTCGCCTAGAATTCCGCACATCCTCGGTGTGAGAAGCGCAGGCGGAGGCCCGCCTTTCTCGTCACCTGCCGCCGCGTGAACAAAACAACTGTTCCTTCTCTCGGTAGGTGCGTTCATCCCCGGAGTCCCCGTCCAGCCTGTGGTCTTACGATACCCAAATAAACTGGTGAGTTGTGTTTTCCAGAGATCAGTGTGAAGGCGAATTAGCTGGAAGGAGGATTTGAGGTGTCTCAGTGCGCCGCGTCCCTGTCTCTGCATCTTTCGTCTATACCGCGGTAGCGGACAGAGCCTGGCAGCTACAGTGAGGGCTAAGCCGTCTTGCCAGCCCCTGTCCTGGGCGTGGCGCCCCCACATGTGGCTTGTCCTATAAACGTGTTTCTGATAAACCCCATAATTTTAAAACAGTCCTCAGTGGTCACACACGAAAAAAATATCCTGCTTTCGTAGGGCGTGAGCGACAGCCTCTCCCCTTGTGAGACCAATCCTGACGTTTTGGGGAGAAACCCTCCGCCCATGTCCCGAGCAGCTCCCAAAGCCCGGCTCAGCCTCCGGGCAATTTTTAAATTAGGAGCATTTAAGTTCCTCGGAGACAGAGGCAGCAGGAGGGAGAGGAATTGACTTCACAGTTGATGCGGCTTTATCTGCCTCTATCAGTGCAGAGGGTTTGTTTTAAAAGAACAAAAGAAAAGAAGGGGTTTTGGGGGCTCAGAGTTCCCAGGGGTGGGGGGCCCAGATGAGGCCTTAGAGCGGATTCTGGCCCTGCCCGCCGGAGGCCGGCCCCAGCCTCCCGCCCTGGGCTCCACTCCACACCGGGAAGGCAGCCGTGGTGGGACCTTCCGTGGGTGCCGTGACGCTCGGGTCGCAGCAGGTACGGGCAGCCCCCACCCCCAGGCGCCCGGAGGCCCAGCCCGCCCCGAGGGGCACTCACTGGGTGCGGCTGCCTCCTGCCGTCTGCCGTCACCCTGCCGAGCGGCGTCCTCGCCCCGGACGGGCTCTCGCGGCAGAAAGTTCACGTGGACGCGAGTTCCCCAGTGCCCTGCGTGGGCACTGGACACTGTGTGGCACTTCTTGGCGGAGTCACCAGCAGCTTGGGAGGAGCACGGTGAGGCGAACTTGTTCATGCAGTGAGCGTCTGTGCTCAGTGGTTCATCTTTGTGGTGCCAAGGGAGATCTACTGAGAGCCTCGCAGGTCCCCGCAGTGCGGTCTGAGTGCAGCACACGTACAGGTGTGGGGATGAGGGGCTTCGAGCCCATCCTCCGCAGGGCCTGGCCTGCTCGGTGCTGGGGTCTGCACCTGGACCCCGTGCCCGCGGGTGGATCCCTGCCAGGAGGGGTGGGCGTGTGCACCCACCCAGGAAAGGGTCTCTGAGCCGTCAGCTAGTGGAACGGCAGTCGGGCCGCAGCCAGGAGCACTGGCGGGATCCTTGGCCACGTTTAACTTAAGCTCCGGGGACTGTCCCCAGCCCTCCCTGCCTCCGCGGCAGAAACCACATCCCAGATGCAGCTCCTGGCAGTGGAAGAATCGAGAGTAAGAGAATCTGCAACTTGTGCAGAAATGTAGATTTTTAAGCTTGTTTCAACTTATCCAAAGCAATGTGGCTTTAACTGGCCTCTCGCACAAGCACTCAGCTCAGCTGCAGAGAAGCCGGGCGTCCTCCCGTGTGAGGTGACGGTCACCGTGGTGGGCAAAAGCGGGCACCTGCCCTCTGGGCCCAGTCACCGGGCAGCCGGCCGGGGCTGGGCTGGGGCGCCGGGCACCCCCTGGGCAGCCCTGGGCAGGCTCTTGGCCAAGGAGGAGCCAGAAGGGACGGCAGGAAAGGGGGTGGGTCGGAGGGGGAATTGGCGACCTCGGGGCTGTGGGGGAGGGATCTGGGCCTTCAGGAGCTCTGGGCACCGGGGGCCGAGCGCCGTCCCCCTCCCCGCCCCAGCGCACTGTGGGGTCGGAGGTGGACAGGGGGAGGCGGGTGCACCCGGACGCCAGGCGCCTGGCCCGTCCTGACGGATTCTGCTCTTTCCTCCCCAGGACACCATCACGTGGACGTGGCAGGGGCCTGGAGCGTAAGTCGGGGCCAGTGGCCTCTTTGTCCCCTCCTGTGCGGGCTCGGGGACTGCCCCGTGCCATAGTTACTGCTGCACACGGGGAAGCCGTGGTCTGGCAGCAGTTAGGTTCGGCCCATTGCGAAAACCAAGTGTGGGCAATGGCTCATCCTAACTCCCTAGAGCGTCCCTGCAGGGACCTCGTTCGTGTCTTCAGCACCCGCAGAAGGTGACCAAGTCTTCCATTCTCATCTCCAGTCTGTCAGTCCAGCATTCACTGTCACCTGCCTGGTGGCCCCTGGCAAAGAAGGCAGAAATTGGGGGTGTTCCAGGGGGTCCCTCTGTGCAGTGTGGGGCTCGGGTGGTGCTGGGCGGGGAGGACAGCGCCTGCCGGTCAGTGTCCCTGTCCCCCGGGACGGATTCTGAAGACAGTCGTGCAGTGACTCAAACCCCATGGACACAAACGAGCGAGGGAGAAGCTGGCTGTGTCTGGCTGACGTCCGGAGGACAGAGGGGCAGGGGCGGGACAGACAAGGTCTCCTGAGCTGCAGGGCAAACAGGGAGATGGTGGTTTGCTGGAGGAACCAAAGATACAAGCAGGTATTTACTAAGAAAAGCGAAGACGGCTATTTTAGAAAAGTAGCCATTTGACTCCGGTGGCGTGGACGGCTCAGTGCCCCGCTCTGCCAGGCGTCACCTACCCAGTAGCGCCCTCTAGAGGCCGCGGGTCTAGAAAGCATGGAAGTAATTTAACTACAAGGAATTAGGAATCATACCTTTTAACCTGTCTTGTAAATCTATTCGTGTTGTTTTTAAGGTTGGAAATCCTGTGGCTCACGCTGTGTCAGTTTCACAATCAAGTGGAGATTGAGGTGTGTACAGCTACAGTGTTGCACGGTGTTACGTCATACAGCGTACAATGTGTGGTGCTCTACTGTGACTTCTGCAGACACAGTGTCGTGCTGGACCCTGTCTAGATACAATGTCACACAGTGTCACAGGCATCTGCCCGCTTTGGGTCGCTTCCCCTGTCTCAGGGCTCCTTGGAGGGCTTCCCTGTCACTTTGCATCAGTTACTTTGTGTCTCTTGTATTTTGAACCATTTGGATAAGGTTCTACATCAAAGGAAACTAAACTTACTCTTCCATTATGGTTATCGTAGCTTCAGAGCACATCAAATTGGCACATACGCCATGAATAGTTTTTTAGCGTTTGGTTTTGCCTCACGCTGGTACTGCGCAATTCGTGCTGCTCCCGTGTCGGGCCGCGTCCTCCGTGTAGCGCCCGGTTCTGGCCTGCGGGTCTCCGGATCACGGTGCCGATCCTCTCGGCTAAATGGAGTCGCATAGGTGCAGCCTGTAAAATTTTATCCGAGTGGATAAGGAACAGCTTCTTTTCTTAAAAGGGGAAGTTAATATGCTGTTCCTACTTCTGAAAATTAAAGATGACTCATAGGCAACTTAAATATTTAATACGACAGTTTGCTGCCTTCCTGTCAATACTGCAGCGATACCAAGCGCACGAACAAGCCCGGCTGCTCACGCCCCTGGGAGACGAGCCCCTCCAGTGACGGAGGGCTGAGCCGAAGGGCCCTTGCCTGTGTCTGGGGGTGGCGGTCCCCATGAATTAGGGTGTTTACGTGACTCGTTCTGTCGTCACAGACAGACCCTAATTTTGTCGGACTGGCAGTTGTCGTTTTTGGTGGCGTTGTGGAGGTCGGGTCTGGTGGTGTTCACGGGAGTAACGCAGCTTCTCTGTGCGCAGTTCCTCCCCGTCTACAGCCCTTCTGAGGAGGAGAAGAGGAACCCCGCGCTGTACGCTGGGAACGTGCGGCGCGTCATGGCAGAGTAAGTGACCGCCGTCTCCCGCGCGCTGCGGCTCTGCTGTGTGCTCGACACAAACAACAAACAAACACAGACAGACAAACACAGACAGACAAACAGCCGGAGCACGAGGAAAGCGCATCTGACAGTGTCTTGCCCCCGCCAGGGGCTCTCAGACCCGAGTTCCGGCCGCACCCCAGAGTTGCTGGTGGGGCAGGTCTGGGCAGGGCTGGGGACGGCCTGGAGGTCCCAGGGGTGCTGACCGGCCACACCCTCAGGGCTTCCTGGTGACCCCTCCTCTTTACGTCTGAGTCCCTTCGTTCACACTCAGCTGACGCCACAGACTCAGCCGGCTCATCCTTCCCCGCGGACTCCCCCTCTCCCTCCCAGAGCACGCGCCCCGAGGGTAGAAGCGGGGACACAGCCACCATCCACAGGCAGCTCTGAACCTTTAGCCGGAGCAGACAGGCCTGGCCCCTGTGCCTGAGCTTCTGCTGCGGCACCGGCTGCCTCTTGGGACGTGGGAGGAAGAGAACACGTGTGACAAAACTCAGCGAGTGGTCGCAGGGCCCCAGGTTCTCTTACGCCGCCCCCGCCCCAAACCCCCGGGGGGCCCGGCCCCCCCCCCCCCCGGCCCCCAACCCAAGGAAGGGCCGGGGGCCGCCCCCGGCCCCGCCCTTCCCCCGAAAGGAAGCCCAGAGACCCCCCCCGGGGCCGGGCCCGCAACCCAACCGGGGGGCCAACCCTCCACAGCCCCGGGAGGCTGGGGGGCTGGGGTCTTTCAGCGGCTCCCTCCCACCCAGCCTTCCCCCAGTGCCATTTGAGTAGGAAAGTGGACTTCCACGGGGCCCCCTCCAACGCCCGGGACCTTTTCCGCCGGAAATGCAAGAAAGGCCCCCAAAGGGCCCGGCGGGGAAGGGAAAAGGGGAGAGTGGTGGTTACAGGGGGACAGCGAACCCCTGAAAACTGGGCCGGAAGAGGATTTGCTGTTAGTCAAGCGTATCTCCACGTGTCTCGTGCATCAGGCTGGTTTTCAAAGGTCTTCGTGCCGGTTTTCTTGTGCGGGGAGGTGTGTTTTGCCTCCTGATTGGAGGCTGACGCCGGGCCCCGGGGCTTTTCTGTAGGAAGTTGGCCCGAGTCTCTGACAGCAGGTAGGTGATTTCTACTCTTGGGAAACCTGTTCCAGTCACGACTCTCAACTTTCATCTCGGCCCCACCTGTATTCCTAGTAATTTCTTTTTTAATGTATAACTTAAAAATAATGTCTTATGTGGACAAAATAAAAAGACCGAAACGTCAGCGACGCGTCGTTTACCGTGCAGGTAAAGCTAATTCTGTCTGGAGTCCACTGGGGGGGACACCTTCAGAAACGTGCGCCGTCTGTGGACGGACAGCGCCACGGCGCAGATACGTGCTGGTCCCAGAGCAAGATGGGCCACGGAGGGATTTCCGTTCTCAGGGCCGATTCGGGAGACACCCACGTGGTGCCCCGTGAAGTGTGTGCCTGTTACATTTTGACACCCTTGCTGACCTCTTCCATCTCTGGAACTTTCCTTCGGGTGTGGGCAGGTGGCCAGCGGGGCGCCCTGTGCTGGGGACGTGGGGCCAGGCGCAGAGCCCTTGGCACCGCTGCTCCGAGGGGACCGTGGGACTGGCCGTCTCGGGGCCGGGCTGACAGGGCTCCCCGCCTTCTCTCGCAGGGCCTTGGGCGTCTCCGTGACGGACTACACGTTTGAGGACTGCCAGCTGGCCCTGGCAGAAGGACAGCTCCGTCTCCCCGCCGACACTTGCCTCTTAGAGTTTGCCAGGCTCGTGCGGGCCCTGGGGTGAGTCCTGTTCCTCCCCGAGTGGGGGTTGGGGCCGGTGCTGCGAGGCCAGCTGAGGCCGGAAGTCAGAGGCAGGCAGTTAAGGAAACAGTTCTTGGTAGCGCTTCTTCTGGGTTTTGGTTTCCAAATATCGACTTCAGTGCACACGGAAGTGTCTTTAAAGCTGATGCCTGGCAGCTGCTCTGTGCAAGGACACCGCCCCAGGAGGCCACGTGTGTCCCGACTGAGCTGCCCGCGCGTCCTCGGATCCTGGGGCAGGACACCTCGTAGCCGCTTAGACAACACGCACTGCACACTGTCCAGTTATCAGAGTGCCTTTCCTCGGAAACTAACTTGCTACAAATAATTGTAATATTTTGGCGAGTCTTGAAACTAACAGTAAATCTCCGGCTGGCATTCTGCAATTTATTTTTCCCTAGGCTAAAACCAGAAAAACTTGAAAAAGAGCTGGACAAGTATTCAGAAAGTGCGAAGATGAGGAGAGGAGAGGAGATCGGGGTTCCCGAGTTCGCGGCGTACCTGGGGGTCCCCGTGTCCGGCGTGCTGGAAGACATGTTCTCGCTGTTTGACGAGGTGGGCTGTCCCCGGCGTGGCAGACCTCCAACTTCCAACATGTCTCTCGTCCTCGCTGCAGCACGAACATGCTTTAGTTCCGGAAGCTGCGGGGGCCACCCTCTGCCCCACCCTGTGGGTCACCGTGGGTGTTTCCTCCCGTGTGGTGTCCTTACTGGTAAACATGCCGTACTTCGGGGGTTTTTGTCGGATCACTCAAAGGCCTGACGACTCCAAAAGGC